CAATGAAAAATAATGACACATATAATTCATATCACAAACAAAGCTCCATTGCTTACCTTTATTTGACCTTAACCCTGGATCTAACGTTTTCATCAACATTTTTTTACTACTTCTCATCAATAAAAAAAAAAATAATAAATACAGATTGAGAAAAATAAGATACGAAACACGAAAAATATTTTTCATTTCAAAATTTCATTACCGTTTTGCTTTGAGAAGTTGTGGAAGAACATTACTACTACACAAAGGAAAAATTTTTTAAGGCAAATAAAAGTATTTTTAGTGCTCTCATAATATTCAGCATCTTTTTGATCATTTAAGTTATAATAGAATGCGCAACAAGTGCAGTATAAAAATGAAAATCAATAAATTTTTACTTTTAAAGCTTTTGCATGAATGAACCTACTTGTTGTTGTGTTACCGCATTTTTTGTATTGCCTTTGTGAAGGTAAGGTATACTTATACTAACAGCTTTTTTTTAATTTTTATTAATTTTGATAATTATTCTAATATTAAAAATATAATAGCATATACACATTACATATATACATGTATATGAACGTGTTAAGTAATTATATAAATGACATATGGTATGTTTGAAAATTAATTTTGACCCGAACTTTTTTTTCGAAGTTTACATAGATATTAGATGATTGTTCCCCTATATCCGCTAAATCACATCACTTGAATATAATGCAAAAATCAAATACTTTTGCAGAATATTCCATCATTTCGAGCGGCGATGAATCTAACAAAATATAATTAGGTACTTGTTTTATAGATGTTTGAATGTAGTCTAACCCGCAATGTATGTATATATAACTTTATATTCTATAAGCCCAATTGTTTACTTGCTTGGAAAAGTACAAGTCAGTCTATTAAATTTTCATATTTAAAGTAAATTAATTAGAATTTAAGTTATTAATATAACAAGTTATAAAATATGGAAAGAAAAGAGTAAATTTTGTTATTAAAAATAATATAAAGGGCAAGTATGTTTGTGTGTATGTTAAAAAATTAATTTAGAACTACATGACTAAAATGCTTTTAAGGAAGATTTAAACTTCATTTAAAATAAGTAACTCAATTTCCAAAAAAAAAATTTCTCCTACAATTTGTATATATTATAGAAGATTAACTATAAAAAAGGAATAAATTAAGTCAACAACAAACTTACCTCCGTTGAAGCAATTGAATTGTTGGCAGCATTATCATTGTTGTTGACACCGTTATGCTGATTTTCCATTATTTCTAAAAAAGAAAAAACTTAAATTTTCTAATCCGAATCGATTTCGGAAAAATATTTTCCTTTTCTCTTTTAGATAGAAAATTTATGGGACATATGTATGCATACATATGTATGTATTTTCCTAATACATAATACACAATATTTATATATATAATACATATATATAACATATAATTTTATGTATATATATATATATATATATATAATCATAATTAAACATAATCATGTATAATATAATTTACATATTAGTTATATTAAATAATATAGTTATACATGGTATAATCATGTGTTATTTTATTATAATATGTATGTATATGCGCAAATAATTTTTGCTCCAATGTAAATAGACACTCCGATAACTTTGTTTCAATAAATTTGTGATAAAGTTGAACAACACGCAAGCAAGTAGATAGATATGTGTATATATAACATTAAGGAAATAAAAACAAATGAATTATTAAATATGTATATATGTATGTATTAATTTATGATCCAAAGTAATATAACACAATAAGAAGTAAAAATTATTATATATTTATTTTACTAGTTGAAATAAAATTAAACACCAAAATTATAAAAAATAAATCAAAGCTCACTAAATTTAAATTGATTGATTTTTTAAGAAAATACATAGCTAATCTTTATTTTACTGTTATCTATTACCTATTCCCTTTTTAAACACAGCTTACAATATTTACTTATTTTAAATAATAGTAAATAAGGTAAAGTACCTATTTACCGGCTATAAGACAGCCAATGAACATCCAAGGTTAATATGCTTAAATAATTAGGTAGGTAGATACCATCTATTTATATATGTATATATGTAAATTCATATTTTAATAATTGTATATGTACATAGGTAACTAGGTAAATATTTTATTAAATAAACAAATTGCCTAAATCATAAGGATTTATATAAATAAGATATATTAACTTTGTTATTTCCAATACTTATTTATTATTATACCCATTCGTTTTTAAATGTATAATGAAAATAAATAATTATTTTTTATGTATGGATGTATGTAGGTAGGTATGTAGTTCATAACCCGAATGTACGAATTATTTGAAGGGAAACACAATTGAAATAATAAACCTTCTGATTACAAATTAACTTTCAATTACTTAAATAGTTTTATTTTTGCTATACCAAATTAAATTGCTGTCTTATCTATTCTACAATTGTAAACTCACACTTATAGTTGGTTATAAAATTTTGTATCTGTCATATTATTATGCATTATTGTTAAAATTATATTAAAACATTGCTCGAAAAATTTAGAACTTCATTAAAGTTGAGCTTTTAATAACGTATATATGTACGGTATATACTTAATTTTTTTTTATTTAAGTAAGTGGATACGTACCTTCCGTACACTTTAAAGTAACGTAACAAAAACTACATTTAACCAGCTAAATGTTTTTTTATCTACACATATTTACATACATATATAGAGTAAATTACTAAAAATTTCTTAATTTTAATATCAGAAATTTATTAATTTTAATAAAAAAATTAAACATTAGAAGGTTCTTAAAAACAAAAATAGAAACGAAAATACAAATGCAGTTAAATATACCTAACCTGAGATAGTAAAGAAAAATAAGGTAGTAGATAGTAAAGTGCTCCAACTTTATTTTTAATTATGTTTTCTACATACATATTTCGCTAGATATAAATTAATGACAATTTATACATACATACATATATGTATTCTGAACGTGAATAGGAATAAAATTGTAAAATTTGAGATTTGAACAGCATGATGAGAAGATTAATTTTAATTTTCAAAACAAAAATAAAAACTCATTTAGGTAGGTATGCAAATGAAAAATTTATAAAAACACCCGAAAAACAGTAAAATAAATGCAATATCAAAATTATATTTCAAAATCTTTTTATGTAATTTATGTATTATTCTAGAAAATACGCACCGCTAATAAATTTAAAAATTTACTTAGTGTTTCTTTACTTCCTTTTAAATTCGGGAACATATATGTATATGTATATCGTGTTGTGAATTCTCAAACAATTTTTTATAGGTAATTATTTTTAGAACTAGTTTACCAACTCTTGTATCACACGATTACTTATTTTTTATATCCACTGAAAATTTAAGGTAGGTATGTAGGTACCTATTTAAAATTGCTCATTATTTTTTTGCTATTACAAAAACTATTTTAAGCTCTTTTTTTTCTTAATTACAAAAAACTCAAATAGGTTTTATTTCGAATTACTTATGCAACTTTTGTAATTTTCAAAATGATTTTTTCTTTTATCCTGATATAATGTGTTTTGTTTTTTGATTAGTTCAATTACATTACAGGTTCAACCAAAACGATTCGACGACACTAGCACAAAACTTTTAAACACGAGAAAAAAAGGCACGCCAAAAACACTATTAAAGTTTTCTTTTAAATAACTGTAGTTAATATTTACATATGCTTATGCACAAGATTATATAAAAAAATATTTTAGAAATCAAAATTTTTTAATTACAATTTTTATATTGTTTTGAATAAATTAACATTTAAAATAATATAATAAAAAAAAATATACATATGTATATTTAGAGTAATAAGAATAATTTAACAAAAAACCCAATCGTCTTCGTTGCCCTTTTTTGATTTTTTATTGTTTTTTCTTAATTTTGACATTCGACGTGTAACAAACTTTCAATTGAAATTGCATTTTGTGTGAATGTGTATAGGAAAATATTTAATAAGCTGCCATTTTTGGCGTTAATATGAAATGTCATTATTATTATGATTACATTAAGGAATCCCAATAAACAAAATTTTTCAAGTAAATCATATCTTTTTCCCAATTATTCTTGGAAATATAACAAAGAAACAGGAAGAAATTTGTTTTGTTGTTTAGTATTTCCATTTACAAATCAAATATCTGAAGTGTGAAGCAGAGAATCCTGTCACTGTTTTAGTTTATTTATTTCTAGAAGGGAATAATAGAATATGCGATGAGTGACATCGTAATTCAAAAATCGTTTCCACCAAATTAGTTTGTTCGCAAGAGGAAATGAAACCTCTATAAACTACGAGATGGGTTCACACGACCGCTCTTGGCTTTACAGTTCGTTTATGAAGTTTTTAGAGTTCAAAAAAATTAACCTTTGATTGAAGGCTGAAAATATTTTGTAAAACTAAAAAATTGCATGTTATATTTATTTACGAATTTATTCTAGTCTCAGGTATCAAATATAAGCCCTTCGATACTTAAGAAGAAATCGCAAACTTTTCTTGTATGTGGTTGTAAGTGAATTATAGTGTAAACATTATTTTCTTCGAACTTTCGAACAGTGAGTAAAAACGCATCTTTGTTATTATTACTTGAATTGGTATAGGTGCATTTGAGTATATGGATGTATTGGTTACGAGTAGATTATTGTTCAACAATATTGAAAGTTTAATGTTAAATTCAAGTAAAGTGAATTTTTTTTTCATTTTTCAAATTCAACCATGTTAATGGTTGAAGTCTGAGATTTAAATTGAGGCTAATGAGTCGGGTGGATAGTATTGATACTTGTATTTGATTTCCTCATTTGATTTCCAACATAGTGTTAATTGATTATTAGCTGAATCAAAATTGAATACAACGAAACAACAATATTTTATTTAGCGTTTTCTTCTAAATTCGCTCTACAATTTTTGTGAAGTTAAAGAATAAAAAATAAAAAAATACAAAATAATTAAAATACAAAAAGTGCAGCGACTTTGAGGTAGAGAATAAAAAATAAGAATTGATTGACATTAAATCATGTGGCAACAAAGTATAATCGAAATTCAAATCAATGAAATTGTCATAATGACGTTTCTATTCTTTCATTTATAGCGACTTCAATAGGCATTTCAGTAAGCAATAGGCATTTTTAAATTAATAGATAAAATATTGTGCATTCGCCGCTAAACACAGAAGCAGAATACATATTTTTGATTTAATAACAATATAAATGTAAAAATAGATAAGTTAAAAATTTTTGACAAATAGCAATTTTAATTAAAAAAGCAAAAATTATTTTGTGTATACTTCTATGTGATTTTTGTAAGAGTAAAGAAGTGTTTTAAAAAATTAAATACTTATAAAGTACGAATAATGGCGTCTCCAGTAGAGAAAAAAGCTTCTCGAGGTAGAGAACGTGAAAGGGATAGAAATAGAAGAAGAGGTTCAGTTTCTAGTAGTAGTGATAGCAGCGACAGGTAAAATTCTAAAATAAAAGAAATAGAATTTATATTAAAAATGATTCCTTTTACTCTAGTTCATCAGATAGTACTTCTTCTAGTCGAAGCTCCCGTTCAGAATCATCATCTTCGAGTTCATCCTCTAGCAGTTCATCTTCATCATCTAGTTCAAGTACTGGCTCTGAACGTAGTCACACAAGAAGAAAATCAGCTTCGCGGTCTAAAAGTCGAACACCATCAAAGACAGCTGCGAGCAAAGAGTCTAAAGAAAAATCAAAAGAGCGGACACGTCGCAGTACAGAACGGGACGCAACGAATGGAAAAGTTTTAGAGAGAGAAAGAGCAAACAGTAAAAGGCGAAGTTCAGATCGCCGCAGATCTCGGGATCGAGAGGCTGATCGTGCTCACTCACGTTCTGGCTCAATTTCGCGACGTAAAACGCGAAGGGAAAAATCGCCAACTCCAAAACCGGTTCGAATTCATGTTGGACGGCTCACAAGAAATGTTACAAAAGAGCATGTCTTTGAAATATTTAGTTGTTTTGGCGATATCAAAAACATTGAATTTCCCATAGATCGACTTCATCCAACAAATGGAAAGGGATTTGCATATATAGAATACAATAGTCCAGATGAGGCTGAAAATGCTATTAAGCAGATGGATGGTGGACAAATTGATGGACAAGAAGTTACAGCAGCGCCAGTTCTATTACCAAGAATCAGGCCACCTATAAGAAAATTTTCTCCACCACCGATGAGGCGTCAGTTGAACAATCGTTGGAGATCGCCGCCACGCTACCGTAGAAGGTCACCTATACGTCGTCGCAGTCCACGCCGTCGCTCAAGAAGTCCGATTCGCAGACGTAGACGAAGCCATAGTTCCGAAAGTTCCCGGTCACGATAAAAAATGCGAATACTTTTATTACGTTTTGTAGCGCATTCTAAATGATATTTGAATATACATAACTATATTCCCATTAAGTGTCTGACTTATAAAAGCGTAATTAAATTCAAACAAAAAAAATTATTGTTGCTAAATTCTTTAATATTTGTAATCAAATTATTTTAGAATAAAAAAATCAACAATTACAGTATATACATATATTATATTATTAACTTCAGAGTTTGTGGCATTAATAAAACTTCCTGTTCAAAAGTTGAAGCCTAAAATTAGCTTTTTGCTTTCGATTTTAGAGGTTAATAAAATTTAGACAAATTTTGTAAGTATAAGTTAAAACTATAAGTAAAAGTTAAAACTATAAGGCTTAATGTAACTTTCCCGTATTTATTATTAAATTTAGTTTGGATTCTTAAAAGAAGTAAGTAATCGTCCGGAAGTACCTTCAATTTTTGTAATAAAAGGACGAAAATGTAGTTTAGATGGATTATGAAGAGGCTATTTATTTAAATAAGGGTTTAGCTGCTTATTTATTTTTAAATAGAATGCAATATGTGTATGGTTTGGTATTAAGGAATAACACTAAATATAGTTATACAATGATCCATATAGTGCCAGAGTTCTGTTAGTCAAGTCCATAAATGCTGTTTTAAATTATTGAAATTTAATGAACTTAAATAATAATATTACAATAAAATTAACCAAACAATATTCTTGCTTTTTAATAATATGTATACATAAATAAAATTTTATCATACAATTTCATATTTACAAATAACAGAAAATATATCCCCTCCCAAACGATTGGCTAACCATGTATTTTTAATTACAGCTAGTTTTAGTGTTTCACATGTAAATTTTGCATTTAAATTTGTATGAAGTGCTCGACCCATACCCTCGATTATTAACAAATCTACGTCGTTAGTTCGAATCGCTTCACATAAATCTAAAATGTTATATAAATAATAAGTTGTTTATAAGTAAAATTTTATATAAGTTGTTAATTAGTCTTAATTATAGTTTTTGAAAGCTTGCAAAGGAAAAGAAACATTTTTTTTATTACTTAGAGATGTAATTATACCGAATTTTTGCATAAAATTAATTAAAAAAATCCATGTGCAATATATACATATATTTGTATTTGTACAATATTTGAAGTAGAGAAGCAATTATGTACGGATTTACTTCAACTGAAAGTATTAGCACTTCAATAAATTTTAGTTTTTGAAAACTCGTAGGTATCTTATTGAGAAATAATTCTTAATTTAAAAATATAGCTTCATTTTAAAGGTAAAAATAAATTTGCGTAAAAAAATATGTTAGATATCTTACCAGCAGGCAAGTTCCTCATATCCAAACATGGTCCTTTCTGACCGTTACCGTATACTAATAGCTGCTTTTCTCTTAGAGCAGCATCAATAATTACGCAATGTTGACAGCAACTTTCTAAAATATTTTCAAGTTCTTGGGCTGTTACATCATTTAGTGAAGGTTCTGAATTGGCGCACATTATAACTTTGGTTCGACGCTTTAATAATTCACGGGCAAATGGCAATATTCCTAATACTACATCAACCCCACTATTGTCAACAAAAATAATAGCGCATTTATGTGACGGTCCCTGAAATGGCAAAAATTTTGAATTAAATTTACAAAAATTTATTTTTTATGTAAACAGTTTTTGTTTTTACGTTATTTATTCTGCGAACCCACGCATCCAGGTCATCAATCAACCATGGTCTTGATTGTATCTTTGCCAAAGCCTCATTTAATCCAAATGATTTATCGTTTTCTAATATTTCGGAAACGGTTTGAGCACCCCAGTCAAATATATTTCCTTTGATAAGTGAAAACAATTTCTTTTAATGATGACTATGCATTATATTAATTCATGTGTACTTTTTGTACATATTTATTTTAACTATTTAAATAAAATAAATGTTATCTAATCGTTTCATAAAAAATTTTAAACCCTTTTCAAGGTTTTTTTCACCTGTTAGTTTAAATACATATATATTTATATACATAGATTTATTAACAAAAAAAAAAAACAACGAAACAGATAATCAAACTACACCTACCTGCCAAAAGACCCTTAACTAACTCAATCCATTTATCTTCAGTTCCTAAACAATCTATTTGATCCAGTCGAGACTTAAAATTTCTTATAGAATTTTCATTTTCAATAAGTTTTTGTTCCAACCAGGGGTCTGCAAAACCGTATTTCCTTAAAAGTGGTTCATTCAATTCTAATAATTGTCGTATTGTCACAGGTCCTCTAAAAAATGAGGATAGTAAAAATTTTTAATGCTTAAAAAATTTCAAATTATAATTTCTAATCTCATTGAAAATGACAAAATATTTTCTTGAAAAAAAAAAAAGATTTACGGTAGCGGTAATACTTTCCTGTCTTAATTTTATACTTTATTTGTTAAAATAAATTTGTATATTTATTCATTTAATAAGTTAATGTATGTAGGTAGATGCTTACATAAAAATAATTAAAATGCTTGCATATTACATGTACTCACGTGCAATTAGCATCAATTTTTAAGTTATTTAAACTTTCTATATAGTCTTGATGAAATTGTTCACTTCTTGTTTTAGATGTAGGATCATTTTTTTGACTTTTAGCAGCTTGATTTGCGAAAACTTTCACTAAGTCCTGTATACAGTCAAACCAGTAATCTTTAGCAATATGATCTTGGCTTAAATTTATTGTATCACAATAATAGTTACTTGGATCATACAGTAAGCAAGTTGAAAAATTTTCTTCACCCATTTTTCTTCGAGTCAGTGGCAATCGTGATTTAACCACCCCGTAACTTGATAACACTCGGTTAAAAATTCTCATAAAAAGATTTATTACTTTTTTATAAAAACAAATTGCAGTTTATAATTAACTAATAATAAATTTATGGACACGCTTCTCTTCTGTTAATGCAAAATTTACTTGCGGTGCATGATGTATGAATTATGAAAAAAACAAATCGAATGTGTACGTATAAGTACCACGGCTGACAAAAACACTAAAAAAATAGTGTTTTTATGTCAAAGTATAAATACAAATACAATACATGCAGAGAGCTGTCATTCTGGTACATATAAAATTAATCTAGCATATCAGTTTATGTTCAATTACCATTCAAAACTATTTAAAAATGAACGAAACGCAATCAAATAAAAATCAATGAAGACCACTTTCCGCTTTTTAGCTACAAGCTACAAGCTTGTGTAGAGCTCTACCAAAACCTAAAAATAGAAAAATAAGTCTCTTCACAAAATAAGAATTAAAACTAACTTCACATAAATCAGCTGAATCTGATATAAGTCTCATATAGAAAAATCAAAGTTTGTGTTAAAATGAGTACAATTTGTTAAAAAATGAATTACCATTTTTTGGATTTTTCCAAAAAAAAAATTTAAAAAAAATTCCTGGTTCATTTGACTCTGTCCGTCCGTGGACATATTTAGAAAACTTCTACACTCTTGAAGATAGAAAGCTAAAAAAATCATGTATTCATAGGATCTTTTATAGACTTATTTTTGGCGAAGAGAATTTTTACATATCTCCCCTCTCTAAATATGCCATTTTTTGACTATTAATTGAAAGCAAACTATAAGAATTTTTGGAATTTTATAAACGGATAAAGTGGCGGCTGGTTTTTTTCTACCGCAGCACATGTACACAATCGTTCAGTTGTACGAATTCATTAGCCAACCTTAAAAAAACAAAAACCCTGTTAAAATTTACGGTTATCTAAAACCCGTATTTTTCAAAATTTTGATACTGTGTTTCACCTAGATGATAAGCTGTAGGAACTCAACATTTTAGCAACTTTTAGAGAGTAATAAATAATGCATTTCGTTAGAAGAAAATTTTCGTCCATCAAAGTTGCTGAAATTTGAATTTTTGGCATCCTATATTTCCGCAACTGCAAGCTTTTCCAAATTTCTTTAAATGCAGGAATCCATACCATCAAAAAATATAATTAGTTTTTTTAACTCACGCAATTACTAAAATATTTAAGTATGCAATTTTTAAAATATTTTTGTACGAATCCATACCATCAAAAAATATAATTAGTTTTTTTAACACACGCAATTACCCTTAAAATTCCAGCATTATGTTAACCCCTTAATTTTTTTTGTTTTATTTTCAATGATTAAATATATAAATCATCCTAAATGTATGCAATTTTTAAAATATTTTTGTATTCGAATGAAACTTATTTTATTTTAATAAAGTAGTACATAGATTGTTGTTAAAAGCAGTATTTTTACTTGTTTGACAAAACAGTTGAACGGGCGAAAATTTTTTTGTTGAACCGACCTCAGTTGTCGGTGCCAATTAAGTTTCAGCTGAGTTAACTCTTGGAAGTTGATCAAAAATAATCAAGCTACCACGGAAGTCGAAATTTCACTCTCGACTGTAGTCAGGAATGCCATTAGTAAAAGACGATCTATATACACTTCTACAAATACTTGATTATTTCTGTAAAAATAACGGATGGTATAATTTCTACAACTTCCATAATGCATTTAGTACGCTGAATTTACATTGAATTTTAAGAAGTGTAAATAAACCGTTGTATTAAATAGGTAAATTTCTCCTAAATTTAATTCAATTTAATATTTATTATTTAATAACTAGCATATTTGAAGGCGTCAGAGGCACGCGTCTTGGGTAATTATAGCATTGAAGGACGATTTTTTTTAAGTAATTTTTTCTGATTATTCAATCAGTTTTACTATTTCACATACATACTTTAAAAAATTAAATAATTTAAAAAACAAAAATACATTGTATGTTGCAGCATCTTAAAAAGTTAGCAAAAGCTTTAAAATATTAGGTATTTTCTTCTACCAAAGAAATAGAGCTCATCTTTTTAGTTATTTAACTTTAAAAAATTTTGATCTTTTAAAAATGTTCAAATTGGATAAATTTTTCTTTTATCCAATTTGAACAATTTATTTTAAATTTTAAAATACTTTTCGGAAAATTGCTCTTGTTCTGTTTTCAACTTAAATGTTATCATTTTATTATAATATCGTATTTCACAAAAATGATCTTTTAATTATTTTATGCATAAACATGCACATTACATAAATAATTTTTTTTCTATTCTAACATAATTTAATTTCTAATCGCTGCATGTAATTATCGCAGAACTGTTTTGGTTATTAAAGTTCATAACTAAAAAGAACAATAAAAAAAGTCATGTACTAATTTTTCTGTTAATTTAATTTTGTTTGCAGAAATCTACTACGAGTATGTGTATTGTGTAGTATATGTATAATTATATGGCATTAGTATAACTAATGTCTTTATATCTAACAAGTCCCAATACTCAATTTTTTTTACGAAATATTACGAATTTTTGGCTTCGTTGCTGGTTTTTTCTTTAAATGCCACTGATCGTGTCATATTTTTTATTATTTTTTTCTTTTTTTTAAGTAAAAAAGAGTTTAATATTTTAAAAAATCTCAGGATATTATACACATTTTTTAAAAAGCTTCCCATTTAAATTCTATTGCACGAAAAAGAAAGAAAGGTAGGAGGAAAGAAAAAATGAAAAAAAATTTCAAATTCATATTTCAGTATGGTTTCAAATGTTAATGAGGAAGGATGTATGATTTTTTATGCACATTTTGTATTTCCCAATAAGGTAAGTTGAGTAGTGTCGGCTAACAAAAATGTTAATAAAAGTAATATAGGTTGACACATTTCAACAATTTGAATTATCTCATTTCGGTTATTTATACGTTACTTATAAAATTGTTTCAAATAATTTCAGTTAGTTTTTAAGTTATTAAAAATAAATACGTATGTACCTACTTCCAATAAATTTTTTTTTAAATAATTATTTTAAAACTATTTCAAACATGTTATATTGAGTGCTTCAAAAATTTTGCTGTGCTCTTTTTTCATATTTTATTAGCAGGTAAACAAGAGCAATCTATTTATAAAATGTCCCTGCATGTGTATGTATGACCTATCTTAATTCTAAACGGAAAGAATATTACATAAAGAACAAAAATTTTAAAATACCTGTTATTTTACAGTCGGAATTTTTGAGTCATTTGGTAAAATACCATTTATTTCAAAAATAAAAAAATATTCAAATCCGGTCATAAAAATATATGATTGTTTTTTCCAAACATTTTAAATATTTTTTTTTCTTAGGTAATTGATATATATGATAGTAAATTTTTAATATTTTTTAAAATAAAAATAGAGGTAAAATTTTGAAGTTTATATAAAATTTGTATTTAACAAATAATATTTGATTGTATTTTAGATATTTTTTTCTAATTCCCTCTTCAAATTTTTTCTTTACTATGTATTTATATCAATATTTAAGAATTATCTTTCATTAATTATATTTTCAACTTGACACCACAGTTACTCCCCATATCTTGAGTTAACTTACCCTATGAGAAAAAAAAGCTGTTCACTTAAAAATAATGAAATGCTTTCAGTAACAGCGGAAGATGTGCTTGTTGTTTTTCCGCTTTTTTTTAAATTTTAAAATAATTATCAATGAAAATATTAATATATTTTTTTGATTTTTCAAATATATTTTCTAAATTTTACCTGCTTTATAATAAGTGTGAATTTATTTTAATATTTCTTCTCAAAAAATAGCCACTTCGATTTAAAAAACCCCATATAAAATAAGGTCCTGCTTTCAAGTTTCTCTCTGAGCATTGGGACTTGTTAGATATAAAGACATTAGTATAACTATACACTACACCAGTCAACAATATTAAGAATAATTATACCATATACACATGTAATCGTTAACGCTGCTCATTAAGCTAAAGCTTATTCAAAATATGAGAATATGAAAACAAAACGAAAATGGATAAATTGTGCAGAAAATCGGTATACATTTTAGATTATAAGAATACGATATGTGCAGAATTGAGAATGCATATTTTTTTCGTTTCCTTTTTTCTTTTTCTGCATGTTGTTTTTTTCTTTTTCTTTTTGTGTGATATTTCTGCTGCAAGCGTTGGAAATTTTACTTGGGCTAATATTAATAAACCGCATAGGATATGTAAGCAAATGCAAGGTTTTAGACTTGAAATTTTTAGGGAGAAAACTATCAAAAACCGTTGGTTTAATCTATTTTACCTTTTAAAAAATTATGAAAACAAATCATACCATAACACGATGGCCATTCTAATAAATATATGTTTGTATAAAAATCTTATTTTTAAAAATTTTTATTAAAATACACTTTATTTTTACGGAGGATTTTAAATGAATTTCTGTTCCATTCTGAAATGACAATATTTTCATTTCCAAAATAATAAATTTTTTTTATGTTTTTAAGCTGAGTTGGGTAGAAATAGCTTACATTCGAATTGATAATTTACTTTATACATACCTCAGTGGAATCAGTTAAAGTTTTTAAATACAATATTCTATGGCTTTATAATATGGAACAATTGTATGGAATAAATTGTATCTAAGCTTTCAAATACACTTTGGAACAAAGTGTATTTAAGGTAGCACATATTTATTTCTTGCTTTTATTAAGACGTTTCAAAGTTGTTAATGTATTTTAACTTCTCCACACAACAAAAGGAGAAAAAATCGATAACTTTTTTGGTGACGTCAAGAAAGTAGCGTTTACAATATTAATAACATAATATAATATTTTCATGTATATGCAAAACCAATACATTTTTGTTATTCTTTGTCCGGGACATCACGAGAATAAAGAGATTATAATAACCATAACTTAAACTTGAATTTGGTGTACGAAAAGAAAATATTATAAATTATTTATTAATTCCTAAAATATAAGATTTTATTTTTGTTTTCAAAGCTGAATACGCTTACAAAACAAATAAAAATGTTACGTTACGGGGTAGGTCTACGTTACTCATATGTTTCACTTTATATAACACTTGACACTCAACATTAAGAAGTAGAAACAAACTACCTTTTCATTTATAAAACATTATATAAAAATTCAAATTAAACAAAAAAAAATGGCACTTGTAATAACTCGAAGGAAATATTAAGAAAAATTTTTCTAAAATTATTAAATTAGATAAATTGGTCTCATGACACAAAAACAATAAGCATATTATGTAAAAGTTTATATAGAAGAGCTCAATTGGTCATAAGTAAATTTAAATTTTCTTTTCCTTAAGTGTTCATACAGTAGCGTGCAAAATAATAGCGATATGGTAAGAAATTCTAGTTTAAAAAATTTCAATTTAATTAAAAACACACATGTTTAGTATTCATATTTGTTTTTATATTAATAATTTAATTTTATTATAACAAAAAAAATTTAAATTTTTTATACAATTATAATTTCGTAAAATTTTAAAAATTTAGTTTGAAAAAATTTTGGGTACTGTTATTAATTTGCACGTATCTATAAATGCGTACATTATTATGTACATTGTTAAGTATGTACCATCTTTTCTAATTAATAATTTTACGTTAATTTAAAATTTGAAGGTGCATATGCACATATAAGGTCAATATAAAGAGGCTATTATTATTTTAAAGTCACCACACTGATAATAATAAAATTTTAATTTATGAGTATCGTAAAATAATTTTAAGAGATAAAATGAAATTCATACTAACAGAAGTTCTATATAATTCTCTGTTTGTCTCTGTTTATATATATGTACATAAGTCAATATAAAATTGTGCATTTGCTTAATTATGTTATAAAGAATTCTTCTGTAAGAAATAATTTTTTTTCGACTGTAGCAACTCTCAATTCTTCAATTCTCAAAGTCTATGAATATCATGTATATATGTATGTATATATAAAAAAATTAAATTTAATAACACTATTTTTTTTTGCGATAAATACGTTTTTTACATTATTATCATATTTGTGTAAGAAAATATTAACTCATCATATATATTAATGTCAAATTAGGGTAAAGCGATATTTTCATGGGGTGCATCCACCATTGTCAGTGAATTTTCCAGGACTATATAAGATGTCAAATACAAGTCTATATGAAACTTTCTCCTAGCTTTTTATAATAATTACGTACACAACTTTATCTAATATGTGCAAACTTAATACATAAGAAAATATAAAATATGTCCGTTTTTAATGTGGTATTAGTACGTTACTCTATAATTTAGTTTTTCACCAAAGATATTAAAAAAAGCGTTAGTATAATACACAAAAAAAGGAGAATTCACCAAAAATAAATATCTAAAGGAATATTGGTATATCATATATTAATAGAGAAGTTGAGGGAAAAATGTAAAAACAAAAATTGACTAAAGGAATAATCAGAAGAGTTCCCAAAAAGGAACGAACGACAAATAGGAAAAAATCGACGTCGGGATAGGAGTAACTAGTATATTGAATTTTTTTTTTTTTTTTTGTAAAAAAATTCCTGAAAAAATTTGCAAAAAATTTTTGAAAATGAAAACTTATTTGTCGTAATTTGAAAATTTATTAATTTTCCTCTTATACAATCAACAATTTTTACATAAACTATTTATATAAGTGAAAATGTTATGAAGAAAATATGAAAATGAAAAATTTTTGAATAAGTGAAGAAAAGAAAAATGGACAAAAGCTAGTTACTAAGGGCTTTTTCACTAAAAATTTTCTTCATTTAAAAAAAATATACAGCGCGCGCGATCTAATAAATATATAAGTTTAAATATTGAATATAAAACGAAAATAAAAATTATTTATTTAATTTAAATAAAATAAATGTAAAAAATTTTTAGTGCTACATAAAAAATATCATTAATTTAGTTAAAAAAATTAGTTATAAAAATACGTGTATAGAGTCGTATGTGTATGGGTGCATATGTATGTATTTATGGATTTCTATTTTGGAGTATGCCTTTTGTAATACAAACTAGTATGTAATTTTAATTTGGACTAGTTATATTTACGCATTCATTTTTTTTATATATTCTTTAAACGTACATTTATTGAAACAAAATATTAAAAAATCATTTTTGAAAAATTACATACTGTTTTAATAAAACATGTTTAATTACACACATAATGCGTAAATACGTATATATGTATGTGCTCGAAAATATATATGTATATATATCCCTTATATATACATATATATATTCAATTAATATCTATATGTATATGTATGTATTTGTGTGTACATATAGTATTTTATAGCTTTATAGCCCTTTAATAATCTAAATAATTTATTGCAATTTGCACTCTTAAAATCATAATGCCGTATTTATTTTTATAATTTTGCACAATTTAAAAATCTAATGCTAATTAATATTTGTTCGCATTTTCGGAAATTTTTGAATTAGATTTTGTACATAATCGAGAAAAGAAATTAAACAATATATAGGAACATATGTACTCGTATGTTGGAGTTTTGTGTGTGCGTATTCCAAATACACTTATGTATGTATACCAAAATTAGCTTAAAGATAAAAAAAAAACAAGAATTTTGAAAAATTCAACTTTGTTGAAAATTTTTAGTTAAACATAAATTTTATGATTATAATTTGAAATATAACATAATTATTATTATGTGGTTTAATTTCAAAACTACATACATTCATACATATATAATATTTTTATGATGCTAAAAGAAAAAATTAAAAAAGAATATTTCCTTTTCGCCACTGCAGCTTTTACTGTGATTTTAGTACATATGAAAATAGTATATTATTAAAAAATATTGTGTATTGTAATATAAAATTATATCTACTGAAATACATAGCTATATGTATATAAGTATATATTTATGGGTATGTATATGACTATGTGTATATATCAAAATACATAATATGTATATAATCGTTTGATTTTATAATTTTTTTCCCATATGCGAAAAGCAAAAAATAAAACTTTAATAATTGTATGAAAAAAGAATTAATAATTATGTATGTATATAACATATAAGTATATATATAACAAAAACAAAAGATATTCAAAATTTTAATATAATAGCTGAAAAATGGCAAAAAGAGAAAAATATGCCTTAACATAAAATTATATTAAAAGGGAAGAGAGAAAAAAATGTGAGGATAATTAAGGAAGAAAAAAATATGGCGATAATGTCATTAAATATGGTGGAGTGGAAGTGAAAATATTTTAAGATTATAATGTGAAAATAAATAAAATTTATTAAAATTTAAATAAAATTGATAAAATACTAATATAAAATATACAAATAATGAGAGGAACATAGAACCAACCAATAAAACTTCTATGTGTATATGAAAAAATGAGATGCATTAATATTAAAAACACAACAGTATATATAAATATATATTACATTTTAAATTCAGTCAAAATATGACAAAAAAAGATAACTGAACATTTTATTATTGAAAATAATTTTGCTTTCGAAAAATTTTATGTTTTTTTAATGTTTTTCGTTAAAAAACATTTTTTGTACTCCCGAATAAATATTAAAATATTGTGGAGTTTTCTTTTGTAATTGAAAATTATTGATTATCGTTTCACAAAATATTTATTTTATGAATCGATTAATTGAATGAATATTAATGATACCTAAATAAAAGAGTAAAAATGAAGAATATCATGGTTGAACATCAATATATGAAATTGAAAAAAAAATATGAGTATTTATATAAATTGAAGTAGTCGTAAATAATATTGGCATCAGATAATATAAAAGTATATATTGTAAAAAAATACATATTCGTTAATAAAAATATATATATCAAAATATATTAATATAATATATATATATATACAAACATATAAACTTACTAATATCACTTTTACACGTACTTAATTAATAATATGTGTACAAAATATGTAACTGCAAAAATTAAAATAAATTAATGTACGCCACGCAAACTTATGTATGAGCTACATTTGCAAAGCTTATAATAAATGTATGTACATGTGATAAAAAGTAAGAAAAATTGGAAACATTATGGATAGTTATGTTTATATTAATATATTTCAATTTCAAAATTAAGTTTGAAAAAAAAACCGAAAAAAAAAATAACCACAATAAAAGACAAGGAATATTTACGTATGTACATACATGTGTGCATGCAGAATATAAATGAAGCGATTTAAAATGAGAAAAAAACATAATGTTATTATATCGTTATGGAAAACTGAAGACAAAGAAAATTAAGTTGAATGAGAAAATTTCTTGACGACGAACAAAAAAAAAGGACCTAAACGAACGCGACGAAGAAACCGACGATATTAAAAGGTTCCTGCATTAAATATCTAAAAAAACAACAATAACAACGAGATTAATATAAAAACAAATTCCACTATATACAGAAAGAAAATCGAAAATTATATTGTATATATACAATGTACAAACCTTCATAAAATGTTTGTTTTCATTGCTATATATAATTTCCGTGATTAATAAGCCAAGGATTAATACAATAGAAAAAAATAACGTTAAAAGGATTATCTCCAACATATATTTATTATTATATGTATGATTCCGACGTTATACATATACTTAGCACAATATAATTGGGTCTACAGGCATACAAAAGTATATATACGTATAAATTATATATATGTACATTATAAAATAAAAAATCTTAGTGGATTTTACAATGCAAGCAGTAGACTATATAAAAAAGGTTTGTAAAAATTTTTGATTTTAGACACAGTATATAACATATATACGTATACGTACATATATATACACATATTTATATATTATAGGTTTATACCAATTAATTGAATACAAATAATAAAAAAGAAAAAAAAAATGTTTCTCAATCAAGTTTGAAAAGACAAAAAAATACCAATGCCAGGGACCTAGTAAAGAATTATAAGTAACGAATATTATGTTTACTCCATAAAATACTGCATATTTTTGTATAACTTTGTTATTCGTTTTTAAATTAAGCTCGGTATTTTAAACTTACTCGATTTTCAATTCGTTGGAGCAACTGCTGCTTGTTTTTATTTATATGTACATATTTGTTTCAAGAAAATGTTACTTGGAACTGTTTTGCAAAATAATAAAAAAAATAAAGCAATTTCATGAAAACCAAGCAGAACGAGCAACATACAAAAAACAATTCAAGGAATTTTTCCTTTTCAATGAATTGTATTCCCAAAATTACCTGATAATATAACTTGATAATATAATAGTCGGAATATGCATTAAATATATAGACATACATATTTCTACTATTAAGTAAGGAGGACGTTGTTAAAATTTTATAAGTTGGAATATACAAAACCAACAGTCAACTAAATAAAACAATTACTTTGTTATTAGCGAAGGTAAAACGATATCGGTCGGCGTAAATATAAAAAAATTGATAGGGTTTTTACTTAAAACAATATAACAAGGAAGAATAAAAATTAAACAAATAAAAACGTTTCAGTCGGTATAAACCGATTGAATTATGCCCTGCGCCTTTCATTGTGGTATAGCAATTACTCGAACCTGTGAAACCATTTTATAGAAACCTCAAGGATATGTTTGACCTATAATTGATCATACAACTGCCAAGTTTCATTAATCTCACTTTATTATTTTTACAAATATTTAAAATTAGCTTTTGCACCTCTATGGTAGCTACCCGAACCTGACAAGCAATTCAACCAAAATTTCAAGAATATATCTGACCTACAATTGGACTGACTTTGTTATTTTTCTAAATACTTAAAATTAGCTTTTGGAGTTGTATGGTAGCTACCCGAACCTGTTCAGCATTTCCACTAAAACTTCAGAAATATATCTGACCTAAAATTGGACAAACGACTGTCAAGTTTCATGAATCTGACTTTATTATTTTTCCGATTATAAAAAATTTGCTTTTGATATTAATACCTCTGTTAGTTTTCAAAATATTTAAACTAAATTCTTTACAAAGCTTCTATGCAAATAATACTCATGTATGTACATACATTTCTACGCAGGTAGTTGTAATGGTGATTATGAAATGTTATGTGAAAAGTTTTGAATTCATTTTACACTTCCTCGTTTATATGCCTCTATAAATTTTTGTTTTCGAATTTTTACAATTTTATACATAGGGAAAATAACTTATTTGTTGAATTCGTTAGGTATCACGATATCAAGGCGCACAATTATTTTTTAACGACACCTAAACAAAAAACTTTGACATACATGAATGGTTAAACATGGGTTTTTTTCAAAATTTTAATAAATTTACGAATATACGCAACATATTTGTGTACAATATGCACATGTTCGTAGTGATCAAAATCGATATCTAAATTTAACATTTCGAATAATTTGTGATTTCATCTAATTTTCAAATACATATGTAACAATCAAGGTACAATTGGATTTTTTTCCATTTCAACTGGGTTTATTTTAAGCGAAGTCAACCCTCTGTGGGTTATTGTGGTATACCACTTACCATAAAATGTCATTACCTAAGAAAAACCAGAACATGAGTCGTCTCATATTCGACCCATATCGGACTTGAGTCATAGACACTCTCGTACTAGAATCGATTTGATTTGGTTTGAGTTATGCGTCCTTACCATGGTCGATCTGATATGTCATGATATGTTAATTATTCAACTTATCATATCAAAAATGCAAAGTTTTTAGGCTTAAATCTGAAATTTTTCTACTGAGACGCTTGCACGTCGAAATAGCTGATTTATCATTTGCTCTTTTTATATCACCTTAGTTATGATAAGCACGCTGCCACATGTTCCTTCAATAGGATCCTTTAATCAAAGTCCTGGTTATGCAGACGGCACAGCGTTAGATCAATAACGAAAGAGCAGATAAGCGGTTATGGCACTGAAGCTAGTATCATTAAAAGCATTCTTTTTATTAATAAAAGCAGCCAGGATAACCTATTTTATAAGTTCATCCAGAGGATCTTTAGAAGTGGAAATCTTAGAGGAGGACTAGGTGAATGGGACGTGCCCAAATGCAAAAGAGCTTGAGGGGAGAGACGAAATAATTTTATACTGCTATACTATTATCTTTACAAATTGTGTAGTATTCTTTTCTGTGAAGTTATAGGAACTAATTTTTTTTTATAAGAGCGGTAATATGATTTAGTTCTTTAAAAATATATCGTTTTAGTTGTGATAGTTTCTTTTATAAAATAAATTTATAATGAAACTTGTTAAAATGTTAAGATTACCAATGAAAATCTCGAAAAAAAGCCCCAAAATTTTTGCTATAATAAGTAAATAGCTGCTATAGTAAGTAAGCAACAAATACAGTTTAATGCTGTACGTATATTGTCAATTTAGTTAAGAAGCTTCGAATTTGAAAACCAACTACTATGAAGTTGAGATCAACAAAAACATTAACATGTACATACCTTTTATAACATCTAATTTTTTAATTATTAAAAACTGTACTTTTCATTTTAGGTTTAAAAATGACGCATTTTTCCTGAAAGAAAACCTGCACAAAAATTAATTGATAAGTCAAAATCGTCAGTAGTTGTTTTTTTGAGATTAATTATACTAATACTAGAATATTAATTACAAACCAAATAAAATATATTGAAAAAATTAAGGAAAATAATTTTTCTTTAAAAAATAAGTAAATTTAATGAATTTGAAATTTAAAGCGTGGAAACATACAAAAAAAAAAGATGGTGCAGTTAAATGTAACAAGTTATATTAAAAATATTCTAAAATTAATACTAATAAATTTAAAACTTATAAACGCTAAAAGGTGAAACATTATGAAAATTTTATTGCACAAATTAAATAATTATTAGAAATTATTATTTTAAACAAATGCAGCTTCTATTAAAATTTTGAGATAGAAAAAAATCGTAAAATTCATGTTTAAAAAATCAATTCAAAATTAGAAAACCAATATATGTATATGTACACATAATATATATTAAGATATTATATTTATATATACGCATATATAATCTACTTATCTTATAAATATGTGCTTATGTGTATATTCAATTAAGTAAAGAAAAAAATATCAGTAGCGGAATGTGATTATAGAAAAGCAAATTCATCAAATAGTCAAATTCGAATTTCTTGAACAAGTAAAAGGGGAAAGAATATTATTTTTTTTCATTAGATTATAAACGCAAAATGGCCGATATGCCAGATTTATCGCATTTAACACCTGAAGAGAGGGCTATAATTGAAAGTGTGATGATGAGACAGAAGCAGGAGGAGGAGAAAGAAATTGAAATTATGCGGTAAGTTTAAAAAATTTTAAAAAAGCAGATTTTTCCATTACAAGTACATTTCTTGTAGATAAGTTTGTTGTAACATATTTAGAAAAGTTAACTGTTAATAATCTACATCCAAAAGATTAAATACTAGCTCTTTATAACTTTCGTCAAATGCAATCATATATCGTGCAGAGCTGAGCTATGAAACTTTCACATAATAATGCAAAGTTAAAATATTCCATATTAAAAATCATATTTTCGTACATGCATGTATGTAATTAAACTGAAAAATTTAAGATTATCAACAGAAAGACCTTAGAAAGTATAAAATTCGAATTTTTTTTTCTGTAAGATGGAAGGACCCAAATCGTCGTCAAACCTATTAACAGTGGGGACCTTAAGTCATAACTTCCCCAAACTACTCAAACTGACTAATCATTTGTTTTGATCTATTTATGTCTGTGTTCCGTGAAGGAAGTACCGTATTAGCTCTTTAGGCTAAATCGAGAAGTCTCGCTTGTTCCAGTCTTGCTGCCCTACCCCTTATCTCTATAAGTCGAATGGCCTGTATTTGCACCAGTCGCTCTAAACGTACTCTATGTTTCATGACACAGTTCTTTAGTTCTTCACTTACTTCGGAGAAACCCAAATCCCCATGAATGCCACTATTGGGTACATACCAGGGAGCACCATATTGCGAAGTACCTTGTTCTGGAAGTTTTATTTACGAGATATGTTTTTTTTGTAAGGCACATAGGCTTTATAAGTCATTCCTAGGTATTTTTCAGTGTTTTGTATTTTATTAAACGGCTCGTCCAGAAATATTATTGAACATATTTGCTTTTTATCTAATGCTTTTTTACAATACTTGTTATTCTCTACGCTTTGTCAATTGTTGCATGCTTTGTTCTAAAACAAAAATAATGGGTTGAGATCAATATTTTATTTTCTCTTACCGGCATTAGCCTTGAATTCTAAAATGAAAATAATAACAAACACATACATGCATGTGTCATGCCAATTGTTAATATCGAATCAATTTTCAATTTATACATATACAAGTTTTGTGCAATTCTTATTCATTAATTTTAAAACTGCTTCCAATTTTATTTCGTACTTTTTATGCAAAATTTTTTTTATAAAAGGTAACAGAATATTTTTTAGACATAAAAGATGAAATATATGTACATAGGTGAAATAAAAAGGCTCTTTGAATAGAATGTTTTCTTATGTTTTTTTTCACACACAGCAGATGAATTGATATTTTGTTGATAATTTCATTACGGCTTATATCTTGCAGGAGAAAGCAGGATGAAGTAAACATCTTAGAAGATACTATTCGTCAAAGATCAGAACAACAAAAAAAGGCTGGTATTGAACTTGATGCTACGTGCCATATATGTTTGAAAACAAAATTTGCAGACGGTATTGGTCACATATGTCATTATTGTAATATAAGGTGTTGTGCTAGATGTGGTGGTAAAGTTACATTGCGTAGCACTAAGGTAAGTTTAGATGATGTTAAAATATTGAATTTATGTGTTGCAATATTTGTATTCAATTATTTGACAAACGGTTTAGCATTTGAATTATAATAATTAATTTTTTTGTAAAAGAAAACTTGTCAACAAATATGAATGTATTACAATGTGAAAAATTTTGTGCATTTGAAAAACACTTAGATTTCTCGAATGTGTTTTCTATTACATAAGTTACATAAAACAATGATTTATATACTAATATATTTTTGATAAAAAAGCAATGGCCAGATACTGAAAAATTTGATATGGTCAATATAAAATTCCCCTCATTATTTAAGCCTGCTTTTCCTAAAAAGTTTAACAGTTATTTTCATCACCAAACCATACACAATTGGTAAATTTCAAGCAATTGCATTATTTCTTAGAATTTTTATAAGAAATAAGAATTCTTAATTTTACTAAATTTTTTAGTTGAAAATTTGTATCACCTTTAAGTATATTTATATATTTGTATATTTATATTTTTTTTGTTATTTTAAAATTTCTTGTGACAATATTAAATGTGTTAAATGTGTTAAATTAACTTTCTATGCTAATGTTTTTCATTCGATAATATAATCGACTCCGCGGGAGTGAGGAGGCGGGGGATATTCGTGCACTGCTATTTATGCAGGATACATAGGTTGGATCGATGAAATTTCAATTTTTTTGCTATATTGTTTATTACAAGGATCCCTATATGAATTTTTAGATCTCTTCCCTCAAAGTTTCTGGGGGTAAAAGTTTCCAATGAATTAGAAATACTAAACGAAGGAGCATTTCGTTTCTAACTGAACCTATTGAAGCCAAAAACGTCAGGTAAGTCTCTTTCTTTGTTCCAAGTTTTGTGATTTTTTTTAAATTAGTGGAGTTTGTGAATGAAAAATTATAAAACATGTAAAAGAGAGTGTTAAAAAAAAAATATAATTTTATAAAAAATTGATAAAAAAAAATAAAAAAAAAGAATTTCTTTTTAAAAAGAAAAATGTACATATGTATGTATGTAGATCGAAATTGTTATTCCTATTTGAAAAAATAAACAGATTTTTTCCACAATATGCACGCAAATATTATTATTAATAAATTTATTTTAATAATTAAAAGTAATATTTATTCAACAGTGTTAAGTTTAATTCATAATTCGTAAAATTATTAAGCTTTTCATTTTGAAACAAAAAACTTTTGTTTTGATTTTGCTTTAAACTGAAATTACTTCAAATGAGATTATTTTATCAGGAGCGGCTTTTTTTTTTGCGCAAAATTAATTTGCGTTTAATAAACTGCACATACATACGTACGATATTTAAAATGGAATTTTTTTATGTACAATATGTTTACAGTTTTTCAGAAATGATAAAATGATAAAAAAGTGGATTGCAATTATTAGTAAAGTTTTCATTCTAAATGTTTTATCAAATAGTGTACATAATATTTTGATTCAAAATGAAAAAAGAAATAATGTGGTAAAATTTATTTAGAGCTAAAATAATTTACATTATTTGTATGTAATAAATGTTTTTGTATGTAATAAATGGTGAATTGTTTTGTTTATATTTCCCTTTATAGAGTGAAGATTTGGTCATCAAAAATATATATGAAGGCGCACCGATATAGTCGCACGGAGTAAATAAAATAAAACATTAGTGTAAATTATTTATAAAATATGTAAATATAAAGTATGTGAAGTTAAATTAATTTATGAGTAAATATTTTACTTTAGTGTACACATCTACTTTAGTGAGTAATAATAATTATATTATGTAATTAAAATTTGTTAAAAATTATATTGTTTTAAAGTAATTAAAATATATTCCGAATAAATTTCGGAATAAACTTGTATTCAATTTTTTACATTGGTGTCTTACACATTCTATAATTGAGGTCAGATAAAAGCAAAATAAATACGTTTCTGTTACGGGGTTGAGAATGCTTGGAATAAAGAAAGAGACGACTAGAAAAGTTTGACTTTATGGCTATTTCAAGAAACTGTTCCTTTACAATTTCTAATTCTTTTAAAGTTTCAAATTTTAGATTTTTTTTTATTTTTGTGTATTTATATCAGCTGGCCAATTTCACTTTCTAGAGGTTTTTCCTGTATAAAAAGCTTGAATTTTAATGTACTAGAACTTATTATAATCTTTTAATAAAAATATTTTTTGGAAATTTAACAATAAAACTACAACTTTCTTAAATTTTAAATTATTGAACTTCTGAGATGTTTCCCGGTAAGATTTATGAGAGACTTTTAATTTAGAACGGATGGTCACCATACGTGTGAATGACATTTAATTGAACATGTGTGCCAAGAAAAGTAATATTCATTTTTAATTGTTGGTATTCTTTAAACTCATTTTTTTTTTAAATATTTGAGAAGATATTATTTGTGTTCAATATTATATATAAAAATGTGAACGTATATGTATATATATACATATATGCATATAATTTTATACGTCTCCAAGAATATTGGCGTCCAAAAATGCTGAATTAAAGCAACCTTGCATTGAAGGAAAAGTTCGAAGTAAAGTGCATATTTTAAATTTACGTAGAAGTATGTTTGTGTGCTATAATAATAATATTTTTATTAACTTGAATTATTTATGACTATATGTACACAGTACACATATGTACATATATGTATGTGTGAAAGTCTAGAATTGTCAAAGCTATTCACAAAATGAAGGCATTATAAATAGTCAAGTAATGCGTGTACATTACATATTTATCTTTTGATGTAACATTTTTTATGCGTAGGTTATTTATGTATGTATTATAATATTATTATTATAATACATTACACAACTACTACAATAAAAATATTTTTTACCACAACCGAAAGACAATTTTTTTAAATTAAATTATTTTTCTTATTGTTGTTGTGTCGTCTCGCTAAAGTTACTAAATTGCGAAGTACACATAATTGACATAAATATTTAATATGAATTTAAAAAACATAAATTCACAGTGCACTAAATTTCAACTCAATCATAGGGTTGATATAATCAAATCACATGATCAAATTTCTCAATCATATGATGGAATTTCCTACTGTCTTTAAGACAGAAAGCTCACAGACACAGAGAATTACTATTATTACACAGGAATGAATCTTTAACTAGGAGACTATTTACACAGGAGACTATTTGAGATTAGGAGCCTATTTACCCAGGAATAAATCTTTGTGAGAAATATATTCTTCTCTCAAAAACAAAACTTTTACCCATTTTAAATTATACCGAAATTCGAACCCACTTAAAATTATAGTCTTCGAATGCTGTTTTTAACCCCTGAAATAACTTGCTTTTTAAGCACTTTTTCAAAAAAAATTTGAAAAAAAGTGCTTATTTATAAGTTTCACTCTGTCTGTCCGTCCGTGGACATGTTTACGAAACTTCTACACTCTTGAAGATAGAAAGCTAAAATTATATGTATAAAGATCCTTACTAAAAACTTATTTTCGTAAAAGAAAATTTTCACCTATCTGCCCCCCTTTAAAAGTTATACCCCCCCGAAACCCTAAAAATGCCATTTGTCAACTATTTATTGCAGTAAAACCATAAGCATCAAATTTTGCAAACGCAGAAATGTAGTGGGTTGCTTTTTCTACTACAGCATACCAAACTTGCAAAATGAAGCAAAATTTACCGTTATTTAAAATCCGTTTTTTCCAAATTTTTGATACCATTTTTCTTCTACATCATATGTTGTAGGAGTTTGAAATTTCAACTTTTAGATACTAATAAATAGTTCATTTTCTTAGAAAAAATTTTTTTCTCAACTCTACCCCCTCTCAAGTTATCGCCCTCCGAATTTCACAAAATTTGAATTTTTCGCGCCATATATTTCCGAAACCGCAAGCTTTTCCAAATTTTTATAAACGCGGAAAGATAACGGTATACTCCATATTATTAAAAAATCCAAAATGTATGCAATCCTTGAAATAGTTTCGTATATTAATGTAAGTAATTTTAACAAAGTATAGTACGTAGCTAGGTTGTTTTTAGAAGCAGTATTTTCACTTGTTGAAGCAAAAAGTGCTTTTTGCCAACTTTATTTATTACAAAGTGATATTTTGACACAATGGCCATAAATATTTACAGTCAAGTGTGGTCAGTTTTTTTTTTTAATTTTCAAAATCATTTTCACACTGAGTGAAAGTTATTCATATACCTAATAGGTAAAAGTCGAAATACAGTTTTGCATTTGTTCGACATATAGTAAAATTTAAATTTTCGGAAATTTATTTCTTTGTGATTTTAATTTCTTAACTTTTTTCAGGTTATTTGGGTATGTATACTATGTCGTAAAAAGCAAGAATTGCTTTCAAAAACTGGTCAGTGGATTAATAAGCCTCCTCAAGACGGTTTTAGACGAATTGAGCCAGATGGGACTAGTGTAAGTATATAAGATTCAAAACTCAATTAAAAGTAACCATTTTTAATCTTCCATTATTTTGTTCACAAAAGTTAACAAAAACTTAGCACTGCATTCCAACATTTTTTTCGCATCAGCTTTTTTGTAAAGCATTTTTGGTAACGTTTGTAGCTCATACACGTTTCTATATTAAATTTTTACTTCATTTCACTAAGAGGTTTTTTATGAAGTACCATCATGTTCCCATTAGAAATTCTATAGAATGATAAAAATCAATTATTAATTATACACTTTGAAAGTTTTTTAAAATATCAGATAGCTAGGTTTAAGTATTTTATAAATTCTCAACTTTATTTATTAAGTTTGTAGATTAAAGTCAGTTAGCAAAAGTTCTTGCAAAATGTCTAATTTTATAAATCCGAGGTACCTTGTTCAATAAAGTGTTTAATTTAGTGATAACTCTTTATTGCATACTTTGTTCTTAAAGTTTCAGTTGAATTTTTGAACAATATTTTTTTTCAACAATCTGCTTACCTCCAAAAGTTTGGAAAAATTAGCGAAGATTTATTTTGGACAGCGATAATAAGTTTCTAACAGCTTTGCGAAACAAAATATGTTTCATTTATGATTTCTGATGAAGTTACTGTGCTGCATCAATTTCAGAAAGAAGTTACAGTGGTATAAAAAAAATCTTTAACGAAAATTTAAAGCAAAATAGAAACAGAAATATTTTACTTTAAATCATAAAAACTAAACAAAGCAACCAAAATCCCTATTATCTATTCCTTGATAAAAATTTCAGGCTATCGTCAACCCTCATGATACATCTGATAAACGTCCTAAATTAGAACGGGCACGCAGTGCTGCAGAAAAAGAAAATTTGCCAATTCAGCGACAAATCGGAGGTCTCCAACGTCAATGGTCGCACGATGTATCAATAGTTGTGGATCGTCGATACTCTAGTTCTGATCCTAATAATGATACAACAATTAGTATTAGTGGACCAATAGGTGGTCATCGTCGAATACCACCTTTGCAACATACGATTGGGGGTTCCACTGTAGCAGGACAACAACAACTTCAACAACAACCGATACATCAGCAACAAATGACAAGACAACAGCCATACACCCCGCCAATAAGTACTTTTACTTGCGGCCAGAGTCAATATGGAAGTAGTATGGGCAGTGGTATTGGAGCTGGGCGTACTTTGCCAACTGGATCACAAAACTTGCAACGTCAAGCACAATCGCAACAAGAACAACACTCGCTTCAGCCACAAATTCAACAAGAATCGTGTGGTAGTGTTTACCCAGAAGATGATCCAAATTTTTATAAGGTAAGGCTCGACCGCTACTGATTTTGTGTTTTATTATTGATGTCGTACTATATGTGTGATAAATAATACAATGAATAAAAGCCTTATTGCGGACTTACCAATAATATTTGTGGGTTAAATCAAGTTTTATAAAAGGCACAAAAATTGCTGCGCCTTTGGATTTTTAATTTTATAGATTTTTCTGCAAAACATGAGCTGGATTTGTTTTCTTGTTTAAAATTATATACGAATAAAATAAACATAAATCCTTATTTGGGAATACATACTGGTAAATCTTGGAGCACGAATTCCCATTTAAACTTCTTTAGGATAAAAAATTCGTCAACTAATTTATTTTATTTTAATTAAATTTTTGGAAGATATTATATTAAATAAAAATTTAAGTCCATTTTAAATAATTTGAAACTACTTCATCTTTAAAATACATAAATACATATTTATAAAAAAAAAAAGCATGTATAAAAGTAATTTCTTTTACCACATTTTTATGACTCACAGATCACTTAAGAAAATTATAAAGATTTCTTACGGTTTATTCTTCAATTTTATTTTCCAAAGTTTTGAATGATTAGAATTTTAAGAAAAACTTGTAGAAGACAGAGAGACATACAGCCATATAGACAACGAATATTAGTGTTGTGGGGTATCTAGTATTCTAAATTTTAGTTGTTTTAAGAACGGTTGCAAAAGCTTCAAAAGTTTGCGTCAATCCTAAAATGAGAACAATGTAGGTACTCGTAAAATCTTTGATTCCATATTCCATCCTAAACACTTCCAATTTTAGTTAAATTTATACTTTAATTTTTCATACTTAGTATTTGCAAACATATTATATTTTCTCAATACATACATTCGAAAAATTATGTTCTTAACCAAAGAACCATGAGTTAAGAATTAAAATGATTTATATAGCTTTATTTTTTTGTGTTAAAGTAATTAAGAAGTGCGAGGCTCTATTACATCCAAGCGAAAGAGTAATGTCACATCTTAATTCAATAATGTTGCATAAATAAACAAAAAATTTAATTCCATGTATGGAAATACACGTAATTTTACATTCTAAAGATTCCTATACCTGTAGATATAGCTAAAGCATATTCATAAGTATAAGTTAATTAGACTTATACAGTTAGTTTCACTTGATCTCTAATTTCATTAAATTGCGTCACTCATTTCATTTACATTACACAAAATCTTTTACATTCATATTTAGACTCCTATTTTGAAAAATTTCTTAATTTTGTATTTAAATATTTAATATTTTACATAATTATTAAAACTTTCTTAGTGTATTTTCAAACATTGCAAAAGAATAGTACTATGTAAATAATGTTAATTTACCCAACAATTGCTCTATAAAACAATTTAATTTCGTTCATACTATTTGCAATTCAATTAAAGCTATTTTATCTTGGTTGTTATCAATAATGTGTTTACAATTTATATTGGATTTACAATTTGCAGGGAGAAATTGATGGTTTAATGCGACAACACCCACATTTAGTACATCCACGTCAACAACAACAATTTCAACAGCAATCATATATGCCATCACCATATTCTCAACAGCAACAACAATTGATGTCTGGTCATCATTTGCCATCATCACAGCGTGGTTCTCATTTAACTAGTAGTATAAGTGCATACCAAAAATTACCACAAATTCCGACAATTGGCGTTGGAGGAATGATTAGTAGTAATACTATTACTGGTAGTGCAGGTAGTGCAGGTAGCACATACTTATCATCGGGTGGTGATATTCACAAAAAATACAAAAGGCAAGGGGGAATGTTAAGTGAAATAACTGGTGGTGTACCCGGATTAATACCATCAAGCAGCCAATATACACATAGTTCTTTTAGTAGTTCCGAAGAGGATATGCATCCACACTATCCACATGATGGTGAGTTTAAAATATTATTTAGTTTTTTAATTCAATAAATTGTAAAACATTTTGTGTGAATATTATTTACTTAAACATATACTTAAATTTGCGTATGCATATCTTATAATATATTATGTAAAATATTTTTAAATGAGTTTAATTTTCCTTTACATAATTTATTTTATTTTATTTTATTTGACACATTTTTAATTGATTATAACTATAGAGAGTTTATTTATACCTCTGTTATTCTTAAGTTTTTTTAGTACCTTAAGTTAATTTTGAATTAATTTTGTATTTTCTGAATAGACAGGAATGCTTCAAAAGTAAACTTTAAACTTATTAAACAAGTTTTATGTGACGAAACTAGATAAAATTATAACAAGTAATTTAGACTAGCACGTACATTTTTAGATAACTTGGAATTGTGCGTGTAAATATGGTTATATAAAATTAAATTTAATTATTTAATAAATTGTTTAATCAATAATAAATTGATTTTCGAAAGTTATCTATTAAGGAATTACAATAGAAAATGAAAGAGATTGTAGCAAAAAATTTGCTCATCAAAAAATACTTGGTAATCTTAAATGTTATGATGTGAGTGCGATGTTTTTGCCGACCGGCTTGCATTCAACAAACCAGATTATGTGACGGAACCAAATTTTGGATGTTGATTTTTCGCTGAAAACGCACTTTTTCATGGGAACTGTAAATAAACTATTTTTGAAGAGTTGTCTGTCTGTGTGGACACGTGTGTATCTTAAGTTCGAGTGAGCTATTTTTAATAAATTTAATAAATTTTATCCTACTTCCTTAAAATTTAAATTCGCGGTATTAAAACAAAATAAATAATATTTTTGGAAAGATCAGGGCTCGGAAGGCAAACAAGGGGCTGATTTTAAAATTTTTTACATCATCTACGGAGCTAATTGATGGAATTTCGTGAAATTTAATATTTTTGTTCTGGTAGCTACTAAAACTAGCTGACGAACTTTTCAGGGTATTCCGATAGCAGAAACCGAAACCCTCATAAGAATCAAATTTCTATTTTTCTATGCATATTAACTAAAGATTTCTAAATTAATTAAAATTTCTAAGAAATGTTTAAAAGACGTTTACTAATCTTCTGAAACACTAAATTCGCTAAATATACACAGCGGTCGGCTATGTGCTGGCTACATCAAATTTTTTTATTCTTCTAGCTTTTAAAAATGACTTTTTCACAAAAATCATGTTAGTTTGAAGTCATCATTTTATTTTTAGAAAGTTCTGCTAGCACATGGTAATTCCTTAAATATAACCGTATATAATTTTATATATAATTTTTACTCTACAAATTTTGTTTTGCAAAAAAAAAAGAGGTTAACGTCTCAAATTATTTGTTTTCAAAACTTTTAGTTTAAAATAAACTACTTTATTTTTAAAGCTTCCTGTTTACTAGATATTATTTTGTGATTTAACAATTATATATTAATAATTTGTTATTCCGATCATATATCCAAAAACACTTAAATTCACAATAGAATATACAATTAAACAATTGAAACCTACACTCTATAAACAAAAAAAGAAAACAAATTTAATCTGGGAGAAACATTTGGCTTTTCAACCTTATAACATACTATAGTGTTAACCAAAATAATAAAAAAATTATCTCTATTTTTATTAACTGAAATTAAAAACCAACCCAAAATCCAAATAAAACTTTTAATATTTTTTTTTAAGTTTTTCCAGAATTTTTTTTTTTTTATTTTATTTTTAAAATAAAGCTGATTTTGGTCATTTTAATGATGTTATTTTTTTTTACATTTACTTTGTTAATAATTAATTAAATATTTAATTAAAATAATTTTCATTTTTATATTAATTTTTAGAACATTTATATTATGATATTTTTGTAAATCAAACATAATAAAATATGTAGTGATTGTTCTTTATATAGTGAGTTTTAAACAATTTCCAATTAAAATTTTAATAAATAAATACGTTAATATAGGTAGGTTGATTTATTTTACATAAAATACATAATATATATATACAATGACTATAATATGCATAATGTATTAGTTGTAGGACAATTGATAAACAATAGGTTTTCAATATTATGTAGGTTTTTAGGTTATTTTAATCAAGTTTATCACTTAATGATAATTATTCGCAATATTAATAATAGGAAGGTATCCATATACTTAAAATAATTATATATATAACAATATAAATAAAAATAATAACAATTAGTTAAAAAATTATGAAGTTGCTATCACCACATGCTACATAGATATGGATGCATTTTTATTCAAAGTTAGTGCATCTATGATATTTACCGTGACTTCAAAAATGCACTTAAAACATAAAAATTGGATTAAAGTTCTTGACAATACACACTGTTAAAAAATGTTGATTATATTAGTACAAACGTAAAATGAAAATAAATTGGATAAAAAAAAATCCGGCATATATTCTTTTTTACACATGTCATATGAATGCTGCCAAAAATAAATAATTGATAAAGGAGTATATATACATAATTATAATTTTTAGCAGTAAAGTGCTAATTTTTTAATTTTTCAAAAAAAATAAATATTATTTTTCTATAAACTATGATAAAACAAACATGTTTTTTAAAATATATACCAACCAGGCAGATATTAAATCCAGTAAAAATTGTTATTCCAGTAGCAAAAGATTTATAGCATTTAATCATACTGTAGTGGTCCTAAGAGCTCTGAGACGGTAGTGGAGCCGTATTTATATACCATACTAAAACTTTTTATAAAGCATTTTTGAAGAATCATAATTTTTAATAAATCTATAAATACACTTACATAATGTTGTAAAGAAATACATCTCAGCACTATTTTTGTTGCATATGTATTAATTGGGATTAATTTAAAAGGGAAGATTTAATTCTGAGTTATAATTTCTTGATTTCAAGCTTCTATCATGATTGAAATAAAGATGATCTTGCTTTTATGTGTCGTATCATAAATGAAAATTTCTCTATATTTATTTATATCTCTATATTGCACTTATTATTTACCGAAAACACGTAATCAAAGGACACGAAAATAAGCATAATTTTCATAAATTTATAGTTATAGTTAATATAGCAAAAATATGATGTTTAAAATGAAAACTTCAATTGTGGTTCAATTTAATATCGACTATTGTTAGTCGACACATAGGTATGCATGCGGAGTAGATTCATTTGTTTTTTTTTTTTTTAATTTTTGAAATTTAATAAAACCAGACGGAAACAATAATTTATTTAATTTTCGTATTTGGCAAGAAGCAGAGAAAATAACAAAATTGCAGCGTTAAACTTTAAAAATGCAATTGCATATTTACAACATGTTTCTGTTTCAAATTTCTCCCAATAAAAAGGCGAAAATTGAAAATTTTTCTAAAAGATAAAACATGTCAAAAACTCTAAATATAAAAATTATTAAGCATTGAACTTGAAAATTGTTATTTTTATTATCGCTCCGTCTTTTTCACGTTAAAAGTTTCACTTTTGTGGATCTCACTCCAAACTAGTTTTAGCGACATTATTGGCGGATTTTCTTAGAGTATGTCCAATCCATCTTGTTCTTATTTGTTTACCGATAAGCTCCTCGCCTGTTGCTATCCAGCGGCTTACGTTGCTTCTGGTAGACGGACTTTGATACTAGCCAACTTTTGCCGCCACAGAACAGAACCGATCTTACATAGGATCAGAATATTCCTGATTTGTTCCCTTTGGATGTTTCTCCATTTCGTTTGCAGTCGGCCAAATCTTGCTCTTGCTTTCTTCAATATGTTTTATGATGTTGCCACATAGCAGAAGCTTCTGACAAACTCTATTTGTTGGGTATTGAGTTCCAACTGACTGTGCTAGTTTATTTTCATTGCCATAGTTCTGGCCAGGTTTTTAAGGTGTTTTAATTTGCTCTGCATGTTAACCTTGTAGGAGAGAAGGCAAATGTCATGCGTGTAATCTAGATCTTCTAGATGTTGGGTGGAATTTCAGATTATGCCTCGTCTCTGTGAGCAGGCGACTTGCAGTATGTTGTCAGGATTTTCGTTCCAGCCTGTTTTTCACGTATTGCATCTTCTAATTATTCTCTTAGACGATTCTGGGTAATTTTTATCAATACTTTGTATGCTATTTTTAGTATTGTGATGCTTCTCCAATCATCGTAAAGAGTCAAGTAGCCCTTTTTTTGTAGTTTTATGATTAGGTCCCCCTTCCAAGACTCCGTCTTTTTATAATCTGTTGCCCTAGTTTTTAAAATAAAAAATTGTTATAAGTATTAAATTCTTATTACCATTATCATTTTCACCACTTCACTTCAATATGTTAAGTAAATAAATATTCTAAATACATATATAGTACATTCGGCATTTTATTGCTTTAGTCAAATTTTTTGCTAGGTAATTTTTAGATAATTTTTTGACTTTCTTTTGCCAAGGATTTATGAAGAGTTAAAACTTACTTTTTGGTAGAGTACTCATGCTTTATGAAGAAAATAAACATGGAAAATAAGAAAGATACCTTAAATGAAAACTAAGTGTGATACCCTATGGTTTGAGATGACGTGTGGAAAATTTTTTTTTGTCCTTTCTATGGCAAAATACTTAGAAAAACACATTGAGACGTAATCTTATTCGCGCAAATTTTCCAAGTTTCTTTAAGAAAAAGCGATTCATAGAGGCGAAGAGCTAAACCAGAAAAAAGGCACATTTTAATTTAAGGCATTTTCATAAAAGCAAATTTTTTTTAATTTTTTTTGTGTTAAGTATATATGTATAATAACTTCTATTTTACATTAAACATCGATTATCTTTAATGTATGTACGTATTTTACATATATGTATGTGTATAAATTTTTAAGACATTTGTATGTGTTTTGTTAATCACTTTTAAGTGCAATAAATGTAATTATCCTCTTTTTATATGCCATAAAGTTTTATTTCCCTTTTTTTCAATGTACTTTTAAGAAAAAACATTACAGCTCATTGTTAAAGTAACAACA